TTGCGCTCTCAAAAACCTCTCTCGTTAAAAGTGACGACTACCAAAACCTTTTGTTGCTCTTTTACCCAAAATGGGTAGGTTAAAAATAGAAGACTTGGCAGCTAATAGTTGGAGCAGGAATAACACAAAAATTTGTAAGGACTCCAGCTGGAAATATGTGAGAAGTCAAGTGAGTTGGCAGTTCACATGTTACTCAAAAGATGACTAGTCATACACATACAGATTCACTAGTGATACCGTAATGATGTCTAATGTAATGCAATGCATGATTTACCTTGAATGATCTTGATTGAGTTGAGCCATGTGAAATTGGTACTTAGGTGATGAGGGGTAAATTTAAAAGATATTCAACCAAGAATGCAACAAATTTCACACACTCTAGACCTTGACTAAAAACTCTTATGACTAGTCAATTGTCAGATATGAATTATACCAAACAATAACATACACAGAGTATACCAAGATGTACCTGCAAGCCTAGAGAATTACTAGTGACAACTTAGGCACTCAGAAGGACCTGTCAATCTTGGCATCCCCTGTGCTAGCAACAACTATGGTGAAAGTGTATGAAGACAACATAATCAAGCAAACACCAAATAGCAAAAAAAGATAACTAGTCAACCACAAGAACACAAACCCAGATAACTAGTCAACTATCAAGAACACAAACCCAGAAAATTTACAAAGATAAAAACCAGAAATTGTTCACCCAGAAACCCATCATTGGGAAAAACTGGGGGTCATCAACCCACCAGGCAATTCACTAAGTAGAAAAAGATTCTTACAAAGGAACACAAGCAAGCTCAAGCAAAACTAGATCTATTTAGGAAGATGAGCTATACCTCCTTTGTGCAATCTTTTTCTCCAACTTAGCAAAGCTTGAAGCTCAGTTCTTAATGGCAATGACACCTCCTTCTCCAGCTCTTTCATCCCATGACACTAGCTTGCAAGCTCTAACTCAGACATAAATGAAATTTGGATTCATGGAGAAAATGACCAATTTCTTAAAGAAACCATACTCTTGAAGAAATTAATCTTGAATCTGACCTAAATATATATGATAAAGTGTTTGATCTAGCAAGATGAAGTTTTCATATTTCAAATGCAGTTTTCAAAAAGAAACAATTTGGAAAACTCAAAGATAAAAAATATGAAGGTTACTCTTGAGGAAGAAGAAGAGAAAGTTTACCATGAAACTTTCCAAAACTTGTCCCCCAAAGTGACGACTGCCAAATGAGGAATCCTTTGGCCTTTAACCCCAAAAATTCCCTAGGTCAAAATCACACATAGCAGCAGAGAGAGAAAGGAGAATAGGACAAAATAGTTGGTTATCCAACTGGAAATCCTATAGAGCAATGATGACTAGTCATATGAGAAATAGATGACTAGTCATACGAGAAACAGATGACTAGTCATCATTTTGTGAAATCAATTTAATGCAATGTGATGCAATGCACAATTTATCTTTGTGAATTTGCTTGAACCTCCATAGGATAGTTGTTAGTTAAGAACACCTAGATAAGCTATTCTTAATATAAACTTGAGCTTGTTAAAAATAATAAAAATCATATTACAAAATTGTTAAGGGAAGCCAAAAGAAAAACTCAAAATGCATACATTAACACCATGACAAGGTTGATCTCTATTGTTGTAATCATCTTGAGTGCAAACTTAAACTGGCCTAAATTACTTAAGCTTGTTTGATTACATATAAGATTACAAGTTTGTTAAGGAAAGCTAAAAACCTTAGCTAAACAGAACCTAACAACATATAATTAAGTTGACAATTGCCTTAGGTCCTTGCAATTTCGATGTTGGTGTTGAATGAGTAATGCTACACTTAACACATTATTATCCCATATTTCTATACCACATGATGTGGCATGTCCATATCATATGTCATATCAATTAAATGAATGAAGTGTATTTTAATAGATAAAATTAGAAAAACAGAAACTAGTATTTTACATGATGTGGTATGTACACATCAGCTGCCACATTATGTGGTATAAAATTGTGGTATATAGGTTTAATTATGTACATGTCCCATGTGCTTTCAAACTTGTCTCAGATTACAACCTGTGTTTGCAAACGGCTCAAAGTACTCCCCCAACCTTTAAAAACCGTCTCACATTACCCTTTCCGTCATTTTTTTGACGTTCCGTTACGAACATTACTATTCATCCCCCCTCCCCCCATTCCAGAACAGCAGCCCATCCCCTTTGTTACTGTTCATTACTTATTTACCCTCTAAAACTCATAAATTTCTCCTAACCAACACAACTAGCAGCAAGAACAGCTCTAGAGGTTGAAAAACCATACCTGGATCGAAGCAAATGGTGCTCGGAATCGCCCGAACGAGAGATGGAGATTTTGGGTAAAAATCGGCCAATTTCTTCCTTTTTCCGGTGATCCAAACGGCGATTGGCAGCGGCTGAGATGTGAGGCTGGTAGAGGACAACATGCTGGTTCTTTTGATACCCATGTCGTCGCTTGAGGTGGCCGGAGAAGGAGATGGCAGCCCAAAAACTGGTCGGATGAACAGTAACAAAGGGGAGGGGTTGCTGTTCTGGAATTTTTTTTGGGGGGGGGGGAGGGGTTGAATAGTAACGTTCATAACGGAACATAAAATAAAAATGACGGAAAGGGTAACGTGAGACGGTTTTTAAAAGGTTGGGGGGTACTTTGAGCCATTTGCAAACACATGTGGTAATCTGAGACAAATTTGAAAGCACAAGGGCATGTACATAATTAAGCCTATAAAAAATATGGTAAGACTAGTATTATTCGCGTTGAATATATCATTCTCTTATATTTTATTGCATAGTTTATTCAACTAGGTTAATTGACCTAAGCTATAAGTTTAAAAAATAATTGGGCCTTTATTGAGTTTCCTATTTTTGATTTTGAATTGTATCATTGGGCAAGGTTTTTTTTACAATACTTGGGCCTAACATACTGATATAATTTTTTTTTTAAATAATTAAAAACATAGATATGTATATATATGGGTTTATACAAATTGGGGTCCCTCTCAATTTGGGCCCCTAGGTGGTTGCTTTGCCTGCTTGTTCTCAGGACCTCTCCTAGGCCTTGCAAGGCTTTACGTTAGATAAAGGCCCACAAGTTAGCCAGCCCAACATGAGCCCAAACACCTATACAAGCTTAGTTTCGGCTAGATAAGGCCTAAATGAGGAAGCACACCTCTAAAACATTAACCAATTTTGGAGATTTTCCCAATTACTGCAACTGCAATAATTTAGGATGCTCACCCACTTTGGGTAAAAATCTCACACGTCCAAACTTAAACAGCTAAATGACTTGAAATGCACATCAATAGTTCATCACACCCCCAATTAGTGCCAAACACGTAGCCTCCTATAGTGATAAATGAGTTGCCAAAGAGCTAAATATAAACAAACATCCACCTCTTTGAGAAGGTAACTGTTCCTTTAACTAACCCTATTTTTCTACAGTCAAATTGGCTTAGGCATCAGAGGCTCTTTGGCTTACACTACACCGTTGTGCCTAAAGACTGACGATCATCTTCTTTCATAGTTTCAGGGCACAAAAGTCTTTTAAGAAGACTAACGAATTCATTCCCATAATGAATACTTCTCTTCTTATCGTTGAAAGATATTCTAAGTTCTCTCTCCAAAAAAACAAAAAGGTTTTCCTAACCAACATTTGGTATAGCCAAAGGTATATATGCATATTGCTTCGGAACAACACAGTTTTGTTGCATTATATAGAGCATCAACTCAATAAATTAATATCAAATTTTTTTAGGATTAAAAGGTCAGGCAAGATACAAATACAATAGGACACAGTTTGCTGGAATCCCATTATTCTCAATCTTGATATTTTGATTCTTATTAATTTTAGTTTTGATTGGACTATAATTGTAAACGGAATAAGCATAATGTGCGGTTGGCCTGTCTTTCAAGTCCCCTGCAACTACTTACAAGTTTTTGTAAAATCAATGAAAAAGATTCGATCTCAGCTCATGTATAGGTGGACTCAGGGATATTGAATTGCAACTGGCATTAAATAAAGGTTGGAGACTGCCTTAAACGTGTGTTAGAGATTTCCTTTAGACTCATAATGCATCGTGTACATTTTTCTAGAGATTTTTGCTAAGTTATTTTCCTTTATCAGTTAGGTTCCAATATAAATAGACATTATTCTGGTACATGTGCGATTCATTTACATATATATATTTTTTAATCTATACCATGCTATAATCGTGGTGCTTTTAATCTGCTACACCATTAAAACGATCGTGGTGCTTTCATGAGATGGCACAACAGTGAAAAAGTGGGCCAAACTCTTTTCTTTCTCTTTAAGTACCCGAGTTTGATAAACAATCTTGAGGGAACCCAATGTAATACTCCCCCTCCTTAGCAGAATGGAAGGGTATTTTTTAATTAAGAAATTTGGGCAACTAATAACTAGTACCTATTACCTAACGAAATAATTAGCTAGTTTTGTTTTGATATATATCTCCAATTATTTTAATTATCTAATAAGCGATAAGTTTTGTTCTTTAGCTAGGAAAAAAACACAGATCTGATTATGGAGATTAATCGTTCTTATCTCAAGCAATGTATACTAGAGATGTTATTGGACTACTACATGGATCATGCACTCATGCTACCACCTACCAACATTGAGAGAGAATAATTCAGGGTGACCTGTGCCCTATCGCAACTTGCCACTATCAGCCATTTTTTTGGCCTCTTGTGATCACTGTTTTCAGAGTCTGTAAACAAATAGGTAAACTGAGCCACTGGCCAATAGATTAATCTATCCCTGGGTTTTAATATTTTATTTAATTCACAAATAATTTTTTTAACCATGTAATGCATGTGACTAAATTAATCCGCAGATCAATGAAGTTTCATGGCAATGACAGCACTACTGTGAATAAAATAACAAATATATGCACAGCCCGCATATAAATACACACAACACACACAGAGCCTGAGCCACAACAGCTACATCAACCCTCCTAAGCCATTCGAATCTAGTTTTACAAGCTTAAGAATCAAAAACCTAAGAACAGTTTCATCCAAAAATGTTTGGAGAGATTAGTTTGGAGTCTGATTTTGCTCTCTTGGAGTCTATTCGGCAACACCTTCTCGACGATAATTTCGATACCGTTTTGGAAGAATCGTCGCCGACAGGTTCAGGCAGCCCTCCTCCTATGTTCTGCCGGAGTTTCAGTTTCAGTGCCCTTTTCTCGGCGGAGAGTTGGAGCGACATGCCGCTGAAAGTGGACGACAATAACGACGTGGTCGTTTACAGTGGTTCCACAGACAACGGATGGAGTCCATCATCAGATCACAGCCACATTGAAGTTGTTGAGACCACACCCATGAAACCGGAGCCTCAGGAGGTGGTTTTGGAAGGGATAGAGGTGGTGCCTGAAACTCACGCGCCGTCATCGGGCAGGCACTTTCGAGGAGTGAGGAGGAGGCCGTGGGGGAAGTATGCGGCGGAGATTAGGGATCCTAAGAAGAACGGGGCGAGAGTGTGGCTTGGGACCTATGAGACGGCGGAGGATGCGGCATTGGCTTATGACAAAGCCGCTTTTAAGATGCGAGGCTCCAAAGCCAAGCTCAACTTCCCTCACCTTATTGGCTCGGAGGGATGCGAGCCGGTTAGAATAACCCCAAAGCGGCGGGCACCGGAATCCTCCTCTTGGTCTTCCTCTTCAGACAGTGGGTCGCCAAGGCCAAAAAGGAGAAACACCGGAGTTGGCTCGGTGGCTGGAGCCGAGTCGGGTAGCGAAAGCCTAGTAGAGATGGTTGAGATGAGCCAGCTAGCCGTTGTTGATCAATGGCTAAATGAACTCAACACTACAGTCTTCCCCATGCCACATGAAACCAATTAATAATTTTTATTATATTTTTTAGACATGGAGATTCCCAATCCCTTATGTAAAGCGTTGGGCTTTTTAAAAAAAAAAAAAATAATTCCACCCTTGTTTTTGTACATGATCATTATGGACTCTTTTTTTATTGGCAATTTGTTATGAGTTTTGTTTCATAAGATATAAGAAAAAGATGGCTCAACTTGCCCTATTCGGTTTCACGTTTTTCTGTCCAGACGAAATTTATCATATAATACTTAGCAAGCAACATAAGATCCTACAAAGCAAACATTAAAAAGTAGATATCATCGGTTTTCAAAGTTGATGTGCAAAATGACTTCTTCCAGATAAATTATTTGTTAACTAGCTAAGTTGACTTTGGCTTACTTGTTCTAATTCAAATGATGGCTCGTTTGAAATTGATTATGAATTGATCAATAATTATTTTTATGGAAAAGTATATGGGAAGAATTTCTCCCCATAATCACTTAAAATTACTAAATAATTATATAACAAAGCACGTATAAGGTGTACCCCAAAAAGTGACAGAATAACTCCCGAACGAATTTGGTAGATTTTCGTCATCATTGACATAAGAGTTGGATTAACAAAATCGTAGAACACAGTACAAACATATCCTTGCTAGATTTTATTTCTTTGTATGGCTTCAAGTTCCAATGATCAATTGCAATTGTGTCCATAATTTTAGCTGGAAAAATTAAAAGGAAATTGCAGTGCAAAAATATTCGTAATTTTATATTTATTCAATTTCCAATATTATGAGTTACATTACTCTATTGAGAAAAGTGGAGGGAAAAAGCAAAGATTCCAGTTAAATCATTTTGTTTTATAACCAGGTTGATAATTTTTACTAGTGCTTGTGCCTTTTTTTAATTTTTTTTTATATTTTTATATATTTATTTATAACAGAGGAGGAAAATTGAAACTTGACTCTTCCATTACAAATTAGGGGGGGGATAATGTCATTCGAGCCGACTGTCAAGATAGCACATATCATATTGCATGCATATGCATTTGCAAAAGGACTTTGGTGCTAATTGGTTAAGGTGGCTATGAACTGATTGTACAAAGCGCATCAAAGAATTGGAATTCTGTCCATACTTTGTTGTTCCATTTCCAAAAACAAAAGCAAAATTACTAACCTTAGATAATATTGATCAGTGCGTACATGCCTCTTTATCTTTCTGTTCTTCTCATTTGTCATCTTTTTTGGAATGCTCATAACCAATTTGAAGTATAAGTTGAGGGTGGTTTTGGATCCAAACAAAATTTTATTGAAAATCCTGGATTGAGGAGATCAAGTGAGGCCACCAAATTGTAAAGCCTGCAAAGGCCTAATTAACTTATGTATTCTGCTACATATAAAAAAGCTTGCTAACTTGTCTTGTTTCTCTTGGACCAGTATCAACCAAGATGGAGGTAAACATGAGCGCAGGAAATAAAGCAAGGGATAGAATTGAGGGTTATATGATAATGTCATTGTATGATCATTCATTGTCGTGTGATTTTCGGTTGAAATAATAATGATTTTTTATGATTTAAGTGAGCCACGTAAACAAAAGATAGTTTTCTTGGTGTGCTTTTCTTTTCCTTCAATGCATATGAAAAAAATTCAGAATAGATTTCAGTACTGCACAAGCAGAGTCTTGATGATGATGGTGTTTGTCAGTAACATCTTGTTTCAAATCAAAACCAAGCAATGGATCATGCACAGATTATAACTGAGGCTCATTATAATCATTTTTTATATTTGGAAAACGAAAGATAAGCTTTCAATTGGATCAAAAAAAGTTACAAACGTAACAATTGCAACATCAGTATCCTTTACATCAATTGAAACTCCATAAACAAAGTCCATTCTGTGGGCTGTTGATCTCATCGAGTTCATGGCTTTCTCCCTCATCATCTTCATCGTCCAGAGATGGGGCACGGGCTGAATGAAGAGCAGAGCTACCTTCCGTGGAAGAAGAGGCCTCACAAGGACTGCAAGGCTTAATTTCAGAACAAGACAAGGCAACAGGTTCATAACTATAGGCATATAATTCATCTTCATCCATGAGATCACATTCTTCTGGTTCTGGTTCTGGGATTCTGAATTGGAAAGCCTGAGGGTGCTTCATAACTCGCATCCTTGGCTTGCGGGTTTGAAACCCAGGCTTGATCATTTGAAGCGTACCTTCAATGTTGGAAGCCATAGATTCACGGCTGCCCAAAACGGATCAAACCCAGAATGCAAAAAAGAAATTGAACACCAACAAACAAGAAGTGGAATTTGGAACTAACCCGAAGGCCAAAAATTCAAGAAGAAATGGAAACTGAGAATAGAGTTGTGGGTTTTTAATTTCCCAAGGAGAGGTATATATAGGGTTTTGATTTCGCGGCCTGCAAGGTTTCAACCTGATTACCGTTGTAATTTTTGATTTTTTGTATATAAAATCCTTTTCGCTTTTTTTAAAAGATCTCGTTTGACTTTAAAAAAAATATATATTAAATTCGCTTATAAAGGACTTAACACACTTTTTTTGACACAAAGCTCAAATTCTCTCCTCTCTTCCTTAACTCATTTTTTTCTGTGGAAGTGTGGGATTGAAATTGATTATCCCCATCTCAAAGAGCATCCATTGTACTTGCTCATGCTAAGTGGAAAGTTTAAGTGTGTACTATATTTACTGACCAAAATTACGAACATGATAATTGTATTCAAGCTTGGAAGAGCCCACACAAGCCCACTAGCAAATACTGTTGATGAGAAACCTTATGGAGAGAGATTGAAAGTTCAGGGAACACGCTACCCACAAAAAAAAAGCAGGAAATGTTAAGGAAGAACATTAACTCATTGCTGCTTGTGAGCTAGTTTAATACAGCATGCTAGTACTGGGCAAATGCTGGTACTAATTAAGCTGCTTGCAGCACCAACAGCTCCACATTACTTGAATCTTCACAAGCATAGTTCCCCCTTGGGTCTTGGTGGTACATCGAAGAGAGAAACAAGGCATGTGGCATACTGGGGTCGGCCTAATCGGAGTGATCAACGATACAACCACAAGCAATATACGGGGGGCAAAAGGGTGTGATTCCAAAATTGGAATTCTTTTTTGCTGGGAAAAGAGATAAGTTCTAGCTTTATTGATGTCTATGATTTCAAGGATTTCTTGAAATCCATTACTACCTTAATAATAAAAAGATTTCCTATTTCCCATCACTCTTTATACAGTGGAACTGAGAAAGTTTTCCTATTTCCCATCACTCTTCATATAGGGGAATTGAGAAATAATATGGCCTAAGATCGCTGCTCGTGTAAGCACTGCAACTGTTTCAGACAGACTTTCGCTGAAGCTTTTCATTTCATCTCAACTTGCACTAGAAAGAATAGTACTGATCAAAGCTCCAGTTCTGCGTCCCATACCTGATTGTAGTTTTTGGTCCATAAAATCTCCATCTGATGTAATTTCTCATGTTCTTGTTCAGCGGATACGATTCACATGGGAAAAAGGCTCTTTGGGAGCTGGTTTAACCTCCTCAGGGTCCCCAAAAACATTCCAGAAGTTCAGTCTTTCACCACCTGCTGATGCTACTGTGCAACCATTCGGGCTCTGGGCCATATAAAGGACTCTAGACGTATGACCCGTGAGTTCTGCAATTCTAACCATTGATGGGTATTTCCAAAGAGTAAGCTGATTCTGAGTAAACCCATGTGAGCTAAGCAGTTCTCGTTCATTCATATTCCACAACAAAGCACAGACCTGAGAGCCAGTGTCAACCGAGTTCAGGCAAGCACCTGTGTGAGTGTTCCAGAACTTTATGCACCGATCATTCCCACCTCCACCAGAAGCTAGCAAATTTCTCTGGAAAGGACACCAAGCAAGGGCTTTTACAGCAGCTGTATGGTCTTCAAGCCTGTGAAGCCACTGTGTTGGGGCCACAGATCTGTTGTCCCATATATGGAGCAGGTTATCATTCCCTCCACTTGCTAATTGCTGGCCTGAGGCCGACCACTTAAGCCCACAAACCTCTCGTTCATGTCCTCTGTATGTCTCAACAATGTGCGATCTAATTCTTACATCATTGTTCACAATGCGGCCATCCATTCCTCCAGTAGTAAGAATGTGATTGTTCCATGCTAGTGAGCCTACCCGTGATCTGTGACAACCTCTCAAGGTTCTCAGATACTGCTTAGTAGTTGAATCCCATAGCTGTACTTCGGAATTATCCAGTCCAACAGCAATGTGGCGTCCATCAACAGCCCAACTGACACTGGTAACAGGTCCCATTTCAACATCAAATGTGGCCGCTTCCGAATTAGAATGATCAGTAGCATCCCACAAATAAACTGTGTTTGCAAGAGCTATTGCGATAACATTGGAGCTTCCCCAATCCAACAAATTCAGGTAATAATCATCAATAAGGTGAGGAGCATCCAGTGTTGTCTGTGGAGTTAGAGGAATATGTCTCTGTGGCTTAGAGTTTGCCGGTTTATCCTGTGGGAAAGAAGAGAAGTTGCTAGGGAAGAGCTCTACGGGGGGAGAAGGCTTGTTCTTGAAAGCGAGGATTCTAGTGCGATTCAAGTTCATAGCCTTTGCCAACTGCTTCCTATAGTCTCTTCCATATCTAGATGGGTTTTCCTTACCTTTCCTACCTTGAGTAAGCATGTAATGCGCAAAATCAAAATCCATTGCAGACCTATTTGGTATGAACCTGTCCAAATTTTCCCGAGAATTCCTTTTCTGAAGAAGCCGTTCTTCAAGAGGGCATCTAGACCTCATTGTTATGTTAAGATGCGACAAGATAACATATATGTGAAAAATGAAAACAATAACAAAAAAGCAGAGAGAGAGAGAGAGAGAGAGAGAGAGAGAGACTAAAGATCAAATATCCTGCAAATATCCAACAAAACAATAAGCAAAAAATAAGAACTCCTGCAAATGGATCACTCAGTATGCAAAACCCAAACAAAAAAGAAACTGAGAGAATATGAAAAATCCAGCAAGTAGATTAACGGGTGCACAAAATCAAAGCCTGCAAACAAATCGTTAGGTTCAATTCAATAAACCCAAAAGTAAATTAACAAAAGAACGGAAATTGAATAGTAATCTCTGACCGTTGGAAAACTAGGGTTTTCGGCAGCCGTTGAAGCCAAAGATTGAAGCCCGCCGAAAACCGAATCAAACCCAGAGAACGCCAAAACGAATTCAGAGAAGAACGCAAGAGAATTGAAGCGCTAATCAAGAGAAGAACGAAGTCGACGGCCACGGAGCGTAAATGGTAGAGTTTCTAATTTTTGTCAAGATCAGAGAGCGGATTGGGTTAGATGTGATTTCAAAATCGAGTCCTAAGTTTCGCGGTGAGGACGACCATATATATGCCGTCGAATACGCGTAGAATACGTGTCGAATACGCGTCGAAGTGCGAATAAAATTGTCGAGCGAAGGCTCAAAAGGACCATTTTAACTCCCTGCTCATTATGTTATGATATTTACTCGTCATAATAAAATATCTGTTTGATTTGATAAAATAATTATGATTTAAGAGGGCTACTTAATAAATAAATAAATACATTTGTGTGATACTTAAGGACTACTCGGGGCTGGGGCTGTTGTACCCCGTAAGGAAAAAATTAGGCAATTATTTATGCAAACAATCTGGTCAATGAATGTTGTTTTTATTGAAGAGTGATGCTAAATGAATCTTAAAATTAATTGATTACACTGTATAATTTAAGTACACCTTAATATTTAAGAGTTTTTCTATTTAAACCCTGCACTTTTCTTTATTCACTCCATATTTTAAGTTCACCCTAACTTCTAATTCAAATTTTCTCAATTTCTAAGAACATCCCACTATCTTACCAAACTACCCATAAATACACACCCAGCTAAAAAATAAATAAATAAATAAAAAAACTCATCAACCCCACATACCTCTATCTTATCCCTTAGAGCATCCACAATGATGCTCTCTATTTCTTAGCTAAAATTTAGGTAAAAATATAAGAAAGCTATTTTAGGAGCTCTCTAAAAAATTTCAACTCCAATCATACTCCATAATTTAGAGAGTCATAAATGTTATAGCTCTTTTTTGATTGGTCGATTTCTATTAAAAAATAAAATAAAAAATAGTTAGCATTAAATAAAAGTTTGAAATACTCATTAAATAAAGCAGCATTAAATTATAGGGAGCCACTAGGAGTCCTTTATCTCTCCTCAGATTTAGGAGCTCCTAGAAGACTCTCTATTTTAGGAGGTGGATAGGGAGCATGGTTGGAGTTGCATTTTTACAATTCATCCCTAAAATTTGTCTAATGAGGTGGTTTAAATGGCCTATTGTGGATGCTCTTACTACTCTAAGTTCACCTCAACCTCATAATTACAACAAGCCACTATTTACATACCGTAATAGGCTTCTTATAGGGAGTTTCACTAAAACACCTAAAATGGGAGCTGAAATTATAAAAAAATTCAACACCCAAAACACTTTATAAACACACCCAAAACCCATCATTACATACACTCAAAACCCATTTATAAACACACTCAAAAAATATACAATTGTTGACTTTGGGGTTGATTTTGGGTGTATTTTTATGTTTAAATAGTGTTTGGGTTTTTTTATAAATACATGTCTAGGATTGAGTTTATTTATAAATTTGTATTTCTGATATTGAAAAAAAAGAGTAATCTGACAATAGGGTGTAGAGGAGTTTGTGTTTCTCTAAAACTTAATATGAAGAGTGGTGAGGTGTGTGGGGTGTGTGTATAGATGTATTAGAGTTAAGTTAGATGACTTTTTTGTCTTTTTACACAATAATAAAACTTAAAAGCTTAATGATTTAAGTATTGAGGTGAACAAAGAAACGTGTGGGATTTAAATAAAAAAACTCTATTTAAATCAAAATATAAAATTAACTAAGTACACCTTATTTAACTACTAAAAATACACTTGATACACCCTAATACACTATCATACAACAGCAAACCCATTCGAATCTAGTAACAGAGTATTCATCAAGGTCAAGTGTCATACTAAATTATTCGGATATCATGGTTGAGAAGCTTTGATTCAAAGGTAGCAAAAAGCCCCTTGTTTTCTTGGTTCTTTATCCCTTGATTAAATGATTTTTACCGGATCTTAAATTGGAACGGACAACAACAAAGAATAAAAACGTGATGACCTTGTTGGGATTAGGTATCAGCTGGAAAACCCTAGGAAATCCTATCTTTGTATGATCAATGTGCCAATGGATTTTTCTCCTTCAACCACTGAATGGGACCTTTAGAACTCCACACCAGAGGCCCATAAAAGAATTAACTGTAAGAAAAATTGACAATTAACATAATTGAGAATTGGATAAGCCATAGTTTAATAGAAATTAACAAGTTCAAAGAAATGACTTTCTGGTGGTATATGCAGAAGCTGCTGAATATGTGAGCAAATATAAACCTAATAGCCTTCCACAGTTATATTATAAACCTGTTATAAGAGTAACTCCACCCATTTGCCCTTAGCCATGGCAAGGGGGGGGCTAGGGCAGCCCCCGCCCC